TATATATAAATATATATCAGAAAGCCTGCACCTTTTAAGTGTCAAATATCAGACCATCTAGTGGTAAGCTCTCTCAGTAATAGACGAAAAATCACGAACGAAAAAAAAAATTAATTGCGTCGTCAAAGTTAGTTACCTCCAAAGCGAGACAAAATTTCAGCGAGATTATCTTTTCCTTTAGCTCCTCGAGTCTTTTCAAAAGTTCGTCTTTGATTTCCTGCAACGAACATATTGTCTTCAGTAATACAATTTCTGATAGAACGAAACAATATAGACTTATAATCTGAGCCGCTTATCCTGTGATATAGGATAACCTGCTCAGATTGTTAGCTGTATAACTATTATCTGAGATCGAGTACACGGCGAAATAAATGCAAGTTACAAGAAGCTACTTTGGGGGGGGGGGAAAGGCTGGAATAAACAGGGATTCATTAACAACTGTCAAAAGATAATTCGTGGGCATTGACGCGTCAAAAGATTTACAGGAATGAAATTTCAAAACAGAGCAAGTTATAACACCTCTTTTTCTTGAAGACGATTCAAAAGTTCACCTTTCATTGGTTTGGGGACGAATCTGAAAAGAAAAATTAAAATCTGCTTATCAACGATTTTCAGCTGGAGGGGAAGAAGAAATTGATTGTGGAGGTACATAAAATAACTTGGAAACTTCGAATACTTGTGCAGAACTATGATCTCGTGTGTTTAGCTGGTCAAGATAGGTCTGAGACTATCAATAAAAGTCCTTCTCAAGATTATCCTCATCCGTACGATCTGACCACCCACGAGATGAGACCATTTACCGTTTTTCGCAGACTTAGTGGTAAATTCAGGTTGTTCCCATTTCTAAAGCGCAAAAACAAGTAGAATTAGCCACTCTACTAACCAAGCGACCAGTCATAACTTATCGCCTTGAGAGGGGAAATTGTTATTTTCTTGGGAGGGGGGAATCGCATGGTTTTCAGGTGAAACGGAAGCTAGAGTCGCTCTCGGCTATCGCCTCCCACGACTCTTACGCTTCTTTCGTGCTTAGCAACCTCCCGCGTGCACCATAATTCACTAGCTTACGCTGTGGCGTTTACCATTTGTTAAGACTACTTCGTAACTTTCCCTAGAGTTGAAGCCAACATACTTGGTATCGTTTTCGAGTTTCGCCAAGGCAACTTGCGATTTCAATTCAGCCAACTAAAACGAAAACAGCCATTCAGTGTAAAGGAAACCACTGATAACAACCGAACTATAAGACGTCAAAGTTAAAACAAGCAAACTAAACTGCTCATAGCACGGGGAGAAACGAGTAACTGAGAAGCGACTAGTTTAAGTTTTGAATGCAACAAGTTTTCTGGACCAACTAGAATACAACCCGTCACGTGCTGTTATAAATGTGCCTCGTCACCCACGTCCCCTCGGTCAAAATGGATGGAAGCTGGCTGAGATCGTTTGTGATTTTTCCGCCAACACCCAACTGTCTTGACCGAACAAGCGTGGTCAATAGAAAGACTCACTAAATGGCACAGGGTTCATGAGAAAATTTCCGCATGTATACGAGTTCTGAAACAATGGAATGAAGGTAAAAGCTAAGTATTTACATATAAACAATGAAGCTAATAACTAATAACAAAGTGCAAAAATGAAGTGTAAATAAGCAGTGAAAAGGATGAAAATCAATTGATGTGAAGTGTTANCTCTCAGTATAGTGCCGGATGTCCAAGCTGCTTCTACATTTCTTTCAACATTGAATGAAATCCACACCTCCATTAGTTTTACAATGGAACTCGAGAAAAACGGGAAACTTGCTTTCCTAGGAATGGAAATCATCAGAAATAGCATCCGGCTCGACAGAAAGGTCTACAGAAACCCAACCGATACTGGGCTGCTTCTGCATTAGAATAGCCACGTTGATATGAAGTACAAACATTCTCTGTTAAAAACAATGCTGAACCGCGCCTTTAAACTTTCTTCAAACTGGCAATTTTTTCATCAAGAATGCGAGCACCTAAAGGAGATCTTCACACGTTTGCATTACCCAGAGCCCCTCATACAAAACACCATCAGGTCTTTTGTTGAAATGAAGGTGATGGAGAGCACGGGTCCCCTGCAACAAGCAGGTGAAATTCTCGTTAGGATACCCCTGCCCTTTAAGGATCGGAGATCAGCAAACAAACTACGCGAACAACTTAGTGATCTTAGCCGGAAGATAAATACCGAAGTACACCCTGTCTCAAAGACGAGCTCCAAACTAAGGAACATAAACCTCCAATTGTCAACCAGCAAAACGTTGTATATCTCTTTAAGTGTGATCTGTGCGATACAGATTATGTCGGCTTTACCAGCCGACACTTATATCAACGTGTGGATTTACGTCAACGTGACACTTACATCAACGTGATGTACATGGTTCGATTCCATGTAAGAGAACATGGAATCGAACCATGTACATGTTACTTGGATCACAACAGTCAAAAGAGAAAACAACCAACACAAAAACAAGGAAACAAAAGAAAAAAAAGTGAATAACATCAGCAAAAACGTCCAAAATTCAAATAGTAGGATCAAGTGAAGCACAAAAAGAAATACACACTGCTTACTTTTTTGGTCAGAAATGCTACGTCTGTCAATTTTTCTACGGTCCAACTTGGAAAAAACCGCGAACGTGCAGAGTGAGAATGATTCCAACTCGAAAGGGAACCTGGCGAACAATCATAAAAAAGAGAGACCCCGTTAAGGAGCTTGGTCGTTGTAGATGCATGGATCAAAAGTGGAGCAAAAGAAGCATGCAAACGAGGCGTCATTTTTGTTTGTTTTCCTGGTGAACGCAGGAAAGTGGAAGGGGGCGCGACACGAGTGCGAGGAGCATTGAACTATACAGTGGGAATCGTGGCGCAGATCGAAACCACGTCAACTCTAGCCCTGTACCGGTTAAATGTGAAAACCGCAGCAAACGTTTTGTTTCCACGTCGCTGCCAAAAAACCTTTGAATATATCATACAAAGAGAAGCGACGAGAGCGTACTCAAAGAGTTTTCCATCCAAGTTGTATTTTCAAATTCAACTTCTATCATTTGAATGCGGCCTCAGATACTAACGGTCTACTTACACTGAAAAGTTATATTATATGCGTTTTATGATGTTGGATACGACGAAAGTTTGTGGCGGAATTGCGTTCAAGTATCACTTACTATGAAATGGACTAAACTGCTATTAAGAGAATCGTATATTATCTTTCGTTGTTCCAGTACGTGAGATATAAATATCTCAGCATTACCGCCCTCTTTGGAAAAAGCTAAACTGCCTTTGCATCCGTATAAAAATAAAAATAAAAAAAAAACAAAAGAACAATAGTTATTCATCTGATACAATGAATATATGAAGTTCATATATTTTGAACTGCGGTATTAAATACGTATGATGCACGATCCTTCGCAGTAGATAGCGCTATTTATGCAATAGCGAAAATCAGACCTGAAAAAAATCAGGCCTGTACGGGATTCGAACCACTGACCTCTGCGATACTAGGCAGCGCTCTACCAGTTCAGCTAACAATAAGCCTTCAACTTCACGTGCAACTTAACGTGCAACTTAACGGCCTGCTCCCAGTTGGCTTATTAGCTTAATTGGTAGAGCGCTGCACTAGTATCGCAGAGGTCAGTGGTTCGAATCCCGTACAGGCCTGATTTTTTTCAGGTCTGATTTTCGCTATTGCATAAATAGCGCTCTCTACTGCGAGGATCGTGCATCATACGTTGTGTCTCAAGTTCGACAAGAAACAAGTATCAAAATTAGTAAAGGTATTATCTGGACATATGTGTTCACTTAGTATGCAAAGGGTTAACGGCCGTTCTAAATTCTTCTAATAGAGTTGTAAAGCCGTTACGTCACGTCACCATGGGAGCAGAATTTTCTGTTCTAAACAAACGTGCTTAGAGCCAAAATGGCGTCGCTTTTAATGGCTGCACTGATATCTTTCTTCGCTGTAGAAAAGAAGTCAATCGAACGAGGAGAAAATCATTACAGATCTGAACACATTGAGTCATTTTCTTACCATCAAGGTGTTTTACGCGGTGAGGTTCAAACAAGTATGAAGAAAAAGGTCTATCGAGTCACGGTGAGTTTAGAGCCACCAATCGCATTAAGAAGCCTAAGGAATATTTT